CATCCATATTTCTATGTTTCTAACTACTCTGGAAGATTGGGCGGCAGGGGGGGGGGAGGATTTGAAAAATCCTAAATATTTCTAGGGTCTAGCATTTTTGGGGCACAGAATGGAACTGTGATCAGGACTCCTGTGTTTGTAAACTATTTTTAAAGAGAACGTATGAGTCAAGTACCTTCTTTATTTTAAAAGGTTTTCTTTTGTCATTTCATGCAGAATTATTGGTTGTTAATTATTTGGGAAATCGTCCTGAAAGCCTTTTCTAAAAAGTAAGCTTGGGCATTGAGAAAGAAGCAATGTTTGTTTTAAAAGCTTACCCAATCAATCAATCTGCTAAAAAAGCAGGCGGTTCACTCAACTGAACTTTAGCCAGTCAACAACAGCCTTAGTTCTTTTTTTTTTTTTTTTTGTTAGGGACACGTCGCCTAATTGTGGAAGGACTAATTAAGAGCCCATCCCCCACGCCAAGAGCCGAGGTGGACATAACCTGGTTAATTCCGACTATCTGCAGCCCCTCAGCCAGGGGTACCCCTGCCTGGCTCGAAGCACACAGACGGTCGCGGGGAAGAAGGGAGGATAAATCTGGGATTTTCAAAAGAGGGTCGGTCGCGAGAAGGGAAGCAGAGGATCCTCCCCAGAAAATGCCCCGTGGCAGTCTTAGCACAGAACCAGGTTAAGGGCAGGCACTGCGGCTTAAAGTCGCGGCCTTGGGCAGGGCCACGTTCTGCCCGGGGAGGTGGGACGCGCTGCCTCCCGAAAAGACCCCAGCCGCTTTTTTTCGGGAGTCGGTGCCCTTGTATCATCCCAGGGCTTTCTCCCGAAGAGAGGCGCAGGGACCCCGGGTTCAATCAATTATCCGGTAGGCCCAAAAGGGGCCGTCCGGACTCAAGGGCGGATTGCGGCTTAGCAGCTCGAATGGCCTCTGTTTTTAGGTGCCCCATGTTCTTAGGCCGAGAGACGACGTCGCGCTAAACCACGATCGGATAAACATGGTTTGAGCGAAGTTAGCCACCACTTAGGTGAGAAGTAGTCCTAGGCCAAGGGGTAGGCAAACGTGGCTCTTTTATGACTCGTGGACTTCAACTCCCAGAATTCCTGAGCCAGCATAGCTGGCTCAGGAATTCTGGGAGTTGAAGTCCACGAGTCATAAAAGAGCCAAGGTTGCCTACCTCCTGCCTAGGCCATAACTAGGCCATAACAAACTAGAACCACTACTTCTGTTGTTCTCAGCGCTTCGGGTGAACCCGCCTTCTAGCCGAGAGGGCAGCAAAACCTGCGGCGCCGGAGACTCAATCTTGCCATTTCCAATCGCCGCGTCGGCATCGATCCTCTCTTAACACCCCTCCCCCTTCCCGTTTTGGGTCACCTCGACGGCGCCTACCGCCCTGCGGCGACCTTTGCCGCGCTGTCGGCCGATCCGCGGACAGCTCGGCTGCGGAGCTGGGCAGACCCTTTCCTGGGCCATCTGTTTGCTGGCGGGGGGGGGGGTCTCGGAAACTGGGGGAGGGGGGACAGCAGGGCTGGGAAGAAATATACCCTGGTTAACTGGTTTTCTTTCTTTCTTTCTTTCTTTCTTTCTTTCTTTCTTTCTTTCTTTCTTTCTTTCTTTCATATTTCTATGTGTATTTTCTTCCCCACATATTTCCCGAGGAGGGGGGGGTAATATCCTGGTTGCGGTCGACCTATTTCGGCAATTAAATTTCCTTTAATTTCTCCAATAACGAAAAGAACTCGTTTCTGTGTTGCCGCAGCCGAAAGTCGCGTTTGACCGCAAAGGTTAACGTTATTTTAACATCGTATAATCTTGGGGGGGGGGGGGGGGGGGGGGGGAGATCGAAGTTCAATCATTTGGAAATCTTGGAAAGATTGCTGCTATACGGGCTGCAAAATCCTTTTTAAAAAATGCGAATTAGTGTGTATGTGGAAGTGGCATTTGAAGATTGGACTCCTCGTTCCAGATTCAATTAACAATGATCTCTTTCTCATTAAAATTCTGTGAAATGCACTGGATGTATCATTTTCCAGACCTGTACTCCCCCTCAAACATGTTAGTTTCTCATTTGAAAAGAGGGTGGAGGAGTGAATGCTGAAGTTCAATCAGTAAAGTATAGGGGGTAGGGCTGGAGTAAATACAGCAATGCACCTAATTCTATATTACATATGATAGGAAGATTTGCTTTTTCAAAGTATATTACTGGAACTAAGCACTCTGTCCAGGGGCTGGCTGGAGATATTCAAGGTGTGTAGATTTAATTAAACTCTTGTTAAACACTCGACTTAAAATAATTGATTATCAATGAGTGATAAGTAGTAACCTGAAATTTCTGAAAAATTATATCCCATTTCCTTTTTTTTATTTATGAACAGAAGAAAAATTACCATGAGACATTTAACCTTGAACTGGTTCCTTTTAAATCTATCCTAGTACCATCATTTACTCTGTTGGCAATAGGAAAAGAAAAGTAATAATGATATATAGTAGTATTCAGGTTTTCAGATGCAGAAATCAAAATACAGATTTGTCTCTGATAAAAACCTCAAGTGCCCCAATAATTTTATTAGTTCTTATTTGCATATTGTTCTAAAACTAAAATCTAGAGATACTCAGGATTATTCATTTTCTCGCATCTGGGATTTTAAAAAAAACTTCATCTCATAAATTATTCAATTCTATTTAATTTCCTGGGTTCTCTATCTTAAAATAAAAGGACATATCCTAACAGATTCTTAGAATGATTAAAATATTTTCAGCAACAGGCTAAACCTGAGTTAGCAAAACACAGTTGCTAACCACATATAACAGGCTTTGCTCAGACAAACAGAACACACTACAGTGCAGTATGGCACAATGGGAAGTTCTGCTTCACACAACATGTTGAGCTGACATCTGCATTCCCACATCACAGTTCAACCACGAAATACCCAAACCCATTTTAGTCTTGTCAAATCCCTTGTGTGAACATCCCAAAGGTGTGCTGTCCAGATTCCCACCTGTTTTTGGGGACAGTAAGTTCAACTGAAATGTGTATATTTTTACTAAATCACTTGCAGCTTTATTATAAGATTGCCTCCTTGGATATTTTTCCTCCACACAGACAACAGGACTCATAATACTTCTTCCAAATCAACTTACATTGAACCATACATAGCCCTAATGCTCAGTCCAGGCCCTGAAAGACTGCAGAGTGAATGCCAAGGCATTTTGAATAAATTTAATGGGCGGCTTCTTATCTGGGAAAATAAGCAAAGCATCGGCTAACTTATGCAATCACCTCCCCAACTCCATGGAGCCCTTTTGTTGGGGGTGGGGTGGGGTGGAGTGTCTTTTCTAACATAGCATTTGAAAGAAAAGCAGACTCATCCCTTGCTATCTCTGCTGGCTCCACTGAGATAATAGAGAATCCCCCTAAATTTGCTCCTCCATTTGGTTTTAAAAGATCTTGTGCATTTCTGGTTCCTCTTTCCCCTAACTTTGGGGCTCACTACAGAGCTGGCCTCCACAAATATATTCCCCCCCCCCAACATTAGGACTTCAATGTGGTCTTCCCTCTGAACTGCTCCTGTTTCTTTGCATTGAAGGTCAAGTTGGCACTCCAAGATAATATCAGGTCTCAAGTCTGTGGTCCATGTATGGGGCTGGAGGGGGTCCTGTGAGGATAAGGAGGTTCATTCTTTCCCTGCTTTGCCCCTTCCCAGATCACCACTTATAGAGAGGGTGTTTGCCTGGGACAGGAAAGGCCCCTCCGTTAACATATTTTTCATTCACTTCAATAAATCTAATCAAAAAACTTTCCATATTCCTGTTTATTGGATTATGGACTTCAGTGAAGGGAAGAAAAGGGAGAAAAACTATAGTGAGAATTGTGGGATTCAATTAAGCACCCTGCATCCTCCAGGACCCCTCAGAAGCTGGATGCATACCATACATTAAAACATAATTTGTAGCTTAGGGTTAGTGCATTATGCAAAACATATTTAATTATGACTAACTATGCCCGAGGCAACAGTCAAACTCTTAACAATCTCCTCCCTCTTACAAATACTTGTGGCTTTTCTAAATTTCAAACATTGTTCCCCTCCCACCTATTTTTGCTTTTCTATAGATATCATTCCACTATAGATGCCATCCCAATGGCTTTGCTGATAGGAAAGGAATTTATCCCAATCACATACCCTCACTTCTGACAATCTGGATACAAGGCCCATAAAAAGGGATTCAAATACTTAGAGACCTCAACCTTCTCTCACTATAAAGAGACACAAAGACATTAAATACCTGCTTCCAATGTCACCAAGAAAAGCAAGGGGACCTGATTCTGAAGCCAGGATGCCTGAATCCTTCGGAAGGTTTGACAGCTGCCTCCAGAAGAGTAAAAAAGTGAACATTCCCAGCTACTCTCAGTTATGGGTCGCCTCTGTGAGTGTTGAATGCAATTTGATTACCACCAACTTTGGAGCCCTTTTCAGGTTGGGGTGCTTCATATTGGCCCCGCTCCATTGGTGGCTGGGCTGAACCCACCACCTTTTTTCACCCAAAGAGCAATGGATAACTACTCTGATTTGATCACACGGTATAAATTTTTCTGGTGCTCAAGTGTTTAACGAAAACCGGTGGCTCATTTACACCATGCTTCGAGCAGTTTTAAATCCACCTAAATTCTCTGCGGATTTACTCACATTATTTTGCTCCAGGCTTTCTGCAATGTGCCTCTCATTTATCCAGCCATGCTCATAACAATCGAAACAGTGGTAAAATAGGAGCAATATAACATCGAAAAGGCAAACAGAATCCCGAAAAGCATAAATCATAAAATAAAGCCTGCCAACCACCACCGGGCCCACGAGAGGGTCCCTGCATTAACTGGCAAGCAAACCCCATTTCGTCCTTCCCGGCAAACCCAGATTCTTTCCTTCCGCGGAAAAGCTTCGCCGGGGGGAGGACTTTTCTCCGGGGCCCCCGTCTCGGCTGCCCACCAGCCCAGCCTGCCCCGGGTCCTTACCTGCGCTGGACGGCCTCACGGCGAGGGTGGCGGCTCGGCCGGGCAGGCAGTGCAGCAGGGAGTTGTCGAAGGGACTGGCCCAGCCTGGCGGGCTGAACTGGGCGCCCACGTAGGGGCTGTAGTAGGATCCGTTCAGCGGCCGGAACTGCTCGCGCGGGCTGTAGGCGGCCGGCTCCCGGGGGCCGCCGTTGGACGCCGGGGGGCTGCCAGCCGGGTAGGAGAAACGGCCCGAGGCTGGGTGGGCGCATCCCCCACCGCTGCCGCCGTAGGAAGGGGACGGGCTTTCCGGGGCGCCCTGCGGGGGCCAAGCGGACGCTCCCCCGGCCTGTCCCGCGCCCGAGGGATTCTGGAGGTAGGGCAGCATGGACCCGACGCGGGTGGTGGGCACGTAGACGGGAGATCCGGCCGTGGAAGGCATGAAGCCGCCTCCGCCGCTGCCCGGGGACGTGCCGTCATAGGAGCCGCCCTGGAGGCTCTGGGAGTGAGGGTGGGCGTGCGGGTGATGGTACATGTCCTCGACGGCGGGCGGCGGCGGCGGAGGCGCGGGATCCGGGCTCAGCTTGGCCGAGGCGCGGCTTGACCAGATCAGTTTGTTGGCCTGATCCAGGTCCGCGAAAAGGAGCAAGTCCTCCCAGCTGGGCAGGCTCGAGGGCGCCGCGGCCGCCGCCGCCAGAGACACAAAAGGCCCCAGCAAGGCTCGGCCTTCGGCCAGGCCTATGGGCTGCGAGGTGGAGAGGGCGCCTCCGGGCTCCTGCTTGAAGCTCCTGAGGCTGGGCGGGCCCCCGCCCCCGCTGGGGGAGCAGCCCGAGGACGAGGACGGCGACGGCGAAGGGCCCGGCGCCTCCCGGGGTGCCAACGGACAGGGCGAGTCGTCGGGACCGCAGCGCTTCAGCAGGCACCAGCCGCCCTCGGCCAGGGCCATCCAGCCCTGCGGCGCTGAGCAAGCCTTTCGCAGTTTGGCTTCCGAGTACCGGTCAGGACAAGCCTCTGCGAGGGGAGAGAGGGAGAGAAAAGGAAAGACGAGTTAGCCAATTCTCATTTTCCATCGATTCCTCCTCCCCCCCCACACACACCGCTTTGCCCAACCTTCTATCTGATCACATGTTCTCTGAGCATGTGTGGAATGCTTTGCTCTCATTATTAGGGTCGGTAAACAATTCCTGGACCGCTCTAACTAGGCAGCTGGACGGGGGGCAAGATGCTTGAAGGTCCCTTTGGCCTTCGCCCAAACGCCCTTAAGCTTGAATTCATATACATTGATGGGGCTGCCGCAGTCCGCCAGAAATCTAAGCTTGCTTTATTTAAGGGCATCGCTGGATCCTTTCCTGCCTCCTTTTTTTTCCCCTCGAAAGGGGAGTTCCCTTTTGCTAGGGCCTCTAAAAGAGACACCGGTCCAACGCCATTTCCCCCCCCCCCCGGGTCATCCCGAACATTTCCCCCAACCTTGGTTTTCCCCTCTGTAAAATCGAGGCGAGCTACTCTTTCGGAGCAACCCTGGCGCAAAATCCCTAATCGCGGCGCCTCAGCCAGACTAAAATCTGGAGCTGGCCCTGGCTTTGTCCCACCTCTGGATCTTCCAGGATCAAGAATTTTCCCAGAACAGCCTGTCTGCCTCCGAACAGGCACTCCCTCCTTTGACGTAGCTTAGAGAGCGAATGAGTGACAAAGGGGTGGAGGTGGGGGGGGGGGGAGTGATGGCGTTGGGGCTTGGAGCGCCTCCGGTAGGACAAGCCCCGCAGCCCTCCCCGCTCCGGCTGGGCTCTTTTTTTTCGGTTTCAGCTAATGACTCACTGGATTTCGTTCCAGGATGAAAACAATTAGCGAGGCAAATAAGGAGAAAGGCGGGGAAGGCGTTTCAGGGTAGCCGGAGGGGCCGAAATGCAGACCCCCGACGGCCAGGTAGAGGCGAAGCTCTGGGGCGGAAGAGACCACAAGCTTAGAGGGTCGGCCCTCCCAAAACTGCCTCTCTCCCTCGGGATCTCAAGGGGGAGGGCCCCGGTGCCAGTCTGTCCCACGTTTTCTTCTCTCTCTCTCTCTCTCTCCTTCCTTCCTTCCTTCCCTCCAGGCTGCCCAGGTTGACCCAGTCAGCTCCAAAGCCCGCCGCGCTCCGGCACACCTTAGAAATGGCAGCCGTCCACAATCAACAGAGCGCCAGCCCCGCTCCGCGTCCCCGCCGCCCTGCTTTGCCCTGCCTGACCAAGCCCAGCCCTACCCGGAGACCTCGCCGAGAGATCGGCCGCGACTTGAAACGCGGCGCCTCTCCTAGCGCCATCTCCGCCTTTTTCCTGGCGCGGTCTACGCCGCGACCCGGAGAGGAAAGGAGCGTCGCCCCCCCCCCGGGCGCAAAGGCCCGCGTCCGCCGGGGCTTCAGCCCAGCGCCTCGACCCCCTTCCCCGCCCTTCCCGGCGCCCAAATTCCACCGCCAGAGGCCCCCGCGCCTCTCGCGACCCCTATCGGAGGCGAGATAAGAGCGCGGCCGCAGAGATAAGGAGTCCTGGCGGCGTGAGGAGGCGATCGTCCCGTCCCCCCGCCCCCCGGGAAGAAGACGGTCCGGCCTCGTCCGGCCGGGCGCGGGCTCGAGGAGCGCCCTCCTGGCCCGGTGGCACCCACCTCTTGAGCCGCGGCTCCGGAGGCTCCTCTTGGCTGCGGCTGCGGCGGACGGCGAGCGGCCAAGGCAGAGCGCGGACCGGAGCGGCGCCTGGCAGGGAGCGAGCGAGCGAGCGAGCGAGGCGCCTCCTCCAACAGCCGCGCCGGAAAAGTGCGGCCGGCCAGCCTGATTGGCTCGAGGGGACCCTAAACAAACACCCGCGCGCGCGAGAGAGAGAGGCGCGCTGTGTCAGGCGCCAGCGGACTCTCGGCGGGGATGCCAATCCCAGCGTCGGGCCCTCCCCGGGAAGGAAGGCCAGCCCGGCCCTGGGAGGAGAGGAGAGGCAAATGCCCAGGCCCGGGGGAGGGGGGGGGAGCCACCAACGCGTGCGCGCCAAGCCAGGAAAGGGAGGGCGCTCGGAGCGAAATTTACCTAGAGGCGACGGCAAGGAGATGCCCTCCCCCGTTTTGGGGTGGATCGTTCTTTTTTTAAAAAAAACGAGAAGACGGTCTTACTGTTTGGGTTTTGTTTCACAGCTTTCCTTTTTCTGTATTTGCACTCCCCTCTTACCCTGTTCCCGCGCCGAGTTTTTTCTTATAAACACAAAAGGTGAGGTTTCTTCTGCTCCGCCGATGGGTCAGGCAAAGAATTCCCCATTTCTGTGTTAAGGCTTTTTGCAAACGTTTTGTTCCACCAAGCCTCCCCGCACACGCTGCTCTGGTTGGGGCTTTTGGACACAACTTCAATTATTCCCAGGCGCAATACCTGAAAGGCAGTAGAAAGGGGAGCAAGGGGACCGTTCCCAGGGAAATGGGTGTCCCTCCTTTTTTTTTTGAAAGTTACCAGGGTGAAGGGCCGTTCAGATTTGTGCGTTTCGGAAGGGACCGCAGCTCCAGTCACCACCTCAGCCCTCCGGTTCCTTGCCTGCGTGTCTCCCTCGTTGCTCACCCCTCTTATCTTAACGGCGCCCAAACTGACACAGGGCTGGTCAGGAAAGTGACTGAAAGTTAAAAGAACTTATTCCCTCTGAAGGCGATCGAAAGGATGTCTGTCTTCCAGAGCTGGTACCGAAACGGACCCGTTTGTGTCCCAGGTTCGGCGGTTTTTCCGACCCGCCGCAAACCCGAATTTCGGCGAGCGCCAGTTTTGAGCGAGAGACGAAGTAGGAGAGGCTCGCCAGGTGAGTGAACACCGCCTTCGCTCGCTCTCGTACCAAGTCTGTTTCGAGCAACGGGCAATAAAGGTTTAGAAGTAGAAGGGATGGCTTGTGAAAAACGGGACTGTTGCTTTCAGTGGAAAGCCTGATTAAAAGGTTAAAGTACGCGTTTGTTACATTACTGCTTCGCCAAAGGAAATTATTGCCTTTGAAAACGAGTCGCCCAAAGTCTAAATAGGCTTATGGAAGGGTCACAGGGACCTTTTGCCTTCGGGACAAAAAGCACATTCCAATTGTACTCAGAAAAAAATAAGTTTTCGAAACCAAGGCTAGCAACACCTAGGCAGGAAACAGCGGGAGCATTTTCTTAACTTATAGCCCAAACAAAACGCCACAAAATCAGAGAAAATGTAGAAACTGCTGGAATAAACACCCGGCTTAAGGATTCGTATGCCAAACCTGTATAATATTTTAAAATGATGTCTCTCCTCTCAAACACCCCCTCCCATGGCTCCTCTGCCCAGACTCTGCCAAGGAACAGCCAGAATTAAGAAATGGAAGCCCAAGAAAATCTAACAGCCCCAGAGCCTCCTCTGCGTGCCATCCTGTCCCTAGCTTGGAAGTAGTTGCTGAAACATTGGGTAGGGAGCCAGGGTTCAACTCCATCTACAGCCCTGGAAGTTCATTGGGTGATTAGGGCAAGCCACACTTCCTTTTAGTCTACCTCACAGGGTTATCTGCATAAAACCAAGAGTTCCTTCCATGTAAACTGCTTTAACTTCTGGGAGAAGCACAGGGTGCAAAGAAATAGAAATGAACAATTTCCCCACTTTTAAAAAACAATGTTGCAATTAACACTCCATTTCAGGTTAGTTCACCTGGCAGACTGGGCTGAGGGAGACTGGGCTGGACTGTCGAGATACCCACCTCCATTGCAAGGCCATGAGACAGAAACAATGAATAGAACCCTTCCAGTGCTCTTCCCCAGCACTTTCTGCACTGAACTCAAAAATCAGGTGGTGCTTGCAAGGAGACTTATGTGCTTGGTGAAACTGAGGCAAACACCTGTATGTTGAGCAGCTCTGCCTATGAGAGTTTGAGGAGTGGTTGGTCTGCCTTACCCACAAGATAGGACACCACCTTTCCTCACAAAAGCCTTTGCTCAGAAACCCCACCTTTTCTCAGGTGGAAGGTCCCTGAGATGTAAAAATGGATCATAGGGGCAGCCCAACTTTCCAGAACTCTCCTGGAAGGGACCAACTAAATTCCTCCTCCTGCAGGCTGGATTTTTTCCTCTCATAATCAATTTTAACTTTAAAAAATTCCTTACACGCACATTTTAAAATATTTATGTAAGACTTCCAAAGGGGACTTGTTTTTTATCCCCCGTTTTCTGACAATTAGATCAACTGTTCCAGGTACCTTTCTGCTTCAGGCATCCCAAGTGGGCTTTTGAGAGGCCCTGTTGACAATCATGATTCTTTCAGAAGCAAAATGACACTCCGGAGTCTCCTGGGCCAATTGAGGTCAACCATGGACCTGACCTGCTTCACAGCTAGAAGTTGCCAATGTGCTTTCAAAACAGGAGTGAGCATTGGGTAACTTGAAGTTCTAGAACCATATATAGCCTTAAAGCTCATCCATCTTCCTCACAAATGATTATAGCATCTTGAGCCTCATCCAATTATCCTTGTGGTGATATAAACCCAGTCCTCATTACTAATCCAGCAGAACAGGAATACTATAGTTACAAGAGTTATAAAGAGCTATAAATCATGAATGAAGAAATGCACTCTACATTGTACATCAATCCAACAAGAAAGCAAAAAGAGGGGATAATTCCCATAATCCCAGTTCTTTCAATCTGTGATGCCTTCTGCTGTTGAGATTGGAGACACACATCAAGTCCCTGTCCTTTTCCCCCTGCATGTGCATATGTGTGCAAACTCACCTATCCAGCCATCCATCCATCCATCCAGCCAGCCAGCAGTTTGAAATCATAACTGGAGAGGCAGGAATCCTCTTAAAAGTTCCTTTGGCTTCGCAAATTGCAGATATACACAGGATTGTGGATGTATATATTCTGATTTGGCAGCTTCTTACAATAATTAAGCAACAGTGAATAAAAGCTCACTCATATATAACTACTCAAATGTAAATGCTATTTTGTTGGATAAGA